GGAGTTGAGTTAGAATCTATTATTGAATAACATCTCCAAAAGTTTTGTTGACTCGACCCCTCTCACATTTAAGATACAATACGGAAATAAACATCGTCCTATCAGGGCACCAAACAAAAGTTGAGTATGACCACTTAGGGTTCATATAAATAGTAAAAAAATTACTTAAAAAAAACCTTGCATGTAATAATCCAATACATAATATCAAACCCCTAAATGAGATATAAGGGAAAATGGTCGATTAGTTGCTACATAACATCTTAATGAGTTTAGTTTTTGTAGCAATATTTTGATAAAGTAAAAAAAAAATTGCTACACAAACTAAACTCATTAAGAAGATTTATGCACGACATAAGATCCAAAACCAAATCGGCAAATCCTACACACACTCATATATATTTGATAATATGTTAATTATATACCAAAAAGAACAAATGTTTTACAAAAGCTTGGCAAAGCTAAACATTTTCAAGAAACTCATATATTAATGACCAATTCTTATATAAACTAACAAAAATTGGTGCTTCTTCCGTGCTCAAAGACATTTTTTTTATAAAGACATTGACTTCCACCAGATAGGTATATAAATTTCTCAATTTTTTTTTAATCACTCAAGTTTGATATTCGAGTTTCTCAAATCCAAGATCTCGATGAATCAAAAATGACCACATGATTCATAGATTGCACAATAAACACAAAATTGAGAATTTCTAAAGATTGGACGAGGCGGCTCAAAAAAAAAAAAAAGGAAGTCTTAATCACGGCCACCTAGCTAGCAGATAAATATGACTGTTGCATGATAAAGAAAAACGAAAACATAATCTGAGCAACCAAAGACATGAAAGTAAAACAGAAATGTTAATTCTTCAAATCACAACGATAACAATGTCCACTTGCGTAGAAGAAATACATGAAAATGCGAAAAGTGGTAATTAATTAGACAAAGCCGAAATGTAAGCAATAGAAGAAATTAAAATAGCAACGAGGATCAGTGTTGGAACTGAGAGGTTGTTGGTGCCAGAAGATGCTGGAGACGGTGCAGTCATCGTCGTCGTCGAAGATGGCGAAGTTGCCCGCGAGTCGGCTGAAGATTGCGAACTAGTAGGTGTTGTAGCCGATGGAGAAACTGCATCCATATTATCATTCATAAATTATATTTCATTACATACACAATCATATATTAACAGAAATACGAAAGGAGACCAATGATTTCCCACTAAAATCATATCTAGTTTAATTATAAATTTTAAGATTCAACTGATTTCACGCATTAGAAATTATAGCATATCTATTATTTTGGAAGATTGGATTTGCCGAAAGACTTTAATAACCAAACTAACAAAATGAAACTTACTCCAATTACACACTAATAAATCAGTTGCATGCGTAAAAGACAAAAAAAATACACGTACACACACAGAAGTGAAGGTTTTTGCTATGAATTTAATGAGTGATTTGATTGACGAAACAAGAGAATATAACAACATGCACATGAAAATTACCTGTAGTATGCAGATGCAAGAAAAATATAACCTCTTAATCAATTCGTAAGGAACAAAATAAAATTCAATCTTAAATCTTAATAAAAAAATAAAGAGAAATCGAGTTTCCAAAAAAAGTGAATCAATACAACAAAATATGAAAAGCTCAATACGTACCCGGAGACAAACTAGGAGTTGATGCTGATGCACCCGGTGCCGAGGCGCCTGATAGCGCAGCTGCAAGAAAAATATAGCTTTAAAACCATGAAAATATGACTAGACCAATCCTTAGCTAGTAATGAGACAAAATATAAAAAAAAAAGAATATTAACGGCAATGCGGAGGAGTAACGGGGAGCTTGCAGGTCTTAGGCATGTCAAGAGCTCTTGTGTTATTCAATTCAAACCCCAACTGGCTGCTACTTGCCAAGCCAAAGCAAACGCATTGTGGGTTATATTCAATAACCGATTCGATTCCGACACAACACGATTTCACCGGCTTAGTATCATTTGATCCGATGGTAATGTAAGAGAGACAATCCATCATGTCATATATTATGGTCGAGCAATCAGAATGTGACGGTCCTGGTGCCGGAGTTGCGGCCAAAGATGGAGAGGGAGACTTTGCCGGATTAGGTTTGTTGCGGGCGTGGATGGGTGATGATGATGATGATAGTAATAGTAATAAGATGGAAAGAATAAGAGATTGCTTCATTATTTGATATTATTCTTTGAAACGCCTTAAGAGTTTATTGTTTAGTTTATTGTTTGATTTTGAGGGGATTAGAGAAGACAAGGTTTATTATATAGAAGTGAGGTGAAGTTGTTAGAAAAAGAAAGATAAGATTTTGTTTGTTTTTTTAGGGTTTGAAGTCCTGTTCTCATTCCTTAAGTTTTGGGAGGTTAGAGATTATTTTGTTGAATAGGTGACTAGTCTGTTATTATCTTAAAATGAGTTGTTTTTTATCTGTTCGTTAAATTGGTTATTTCCAGATAGTTATTTTTTAATTTAATTTCAAATGTTATTTGTGTATTTGTGTACATTTCCGGATAAAACATCTCATTGTTTTTCCTCTTGT